AGCATGCTGCCAGACTGTATGTTCGATACGTGTGGCCTAAATAACCCTCCTTTCCACCCATCAGACTGATCCTTCTCAAACCTTCTTTGAAGGTTCATCATTTATGTCCTACTCCCTATGTATGTATACGCCAAGGCTTCAAGAATTTTCATTTCAGATTCTTAGTCATGAAGAAGAAACCAAGAGAATGAGAGCACATTAAAAAAAAAAAAAAAGATATTCACTAGAATTACTTCCCATTTTAAGCAGTTCAATTGCCAAAAAAATTCCAACTGGTACATAAAGAGCCCCAGCAACTAAGTCTTCATATTTTCTCACTGCAATCAAACCATCAAGTTAAAATATGTCTAAATAACTCTCCCTATTATGAAACACTACGATGTTCATTGTCTATACCCCGCATCTGACATTTATGATACACTGCCTCATACTGTGAATTGTAGTGTGGATGGTGAAGTTCTCCGGATGTTCCTTCTTGGGAATGACACTATGTTGATGACATCAAGCCCCATAACATTATAGAGCCACTTGGATGAGATCTTTAAACAATCATTCAAAGAATCTGGCCCGTCCATTCACATAAGAAAGACCAAATGAATGAAAAATATCTATTACTCAGATTTCAACAAAGATCTGAAGAGATACCCTCTAAAACTTGTCCAACAGTATGTACATTTGGAATAGACAATATAAATGGACAGTGAACTGGGTCCAGAGTTAAAAAGTGGATTGCTTTTGGGAAATGGCATAGCACCTCTACTGATCTCAAGTTTCCCATAAGGGCAAAGGCCCATCTTTTAATAAAAAGATTTTGCCAGTGTTGTGGCATGGAAGTGAGACCCGGAACAAACACTGCTGCCGACAAAGAACTAAAGATGAACACCACAAAGCAGGGAATGAAAAAGGCACGTGGTAGGTATAAGCAGGATGCCATATATAACCAACAAGAAGCTCCAAAGAAGAACATGATTTAGTAGAGGACATCATAAGGAGTGGTATGGCAGAAAGAGAAGAGGGGTTGATCACAGAATGGCAGATTACAGGCAGAAGGTTAAGAGCATTCCTGGTCTCTTGAGGCCAAAAAAACACCCTCCAACACCCTGGGTAGACCCTGTGTAGAACATCTGGTAGGACATGTATACGGGGAGCACAAAATGAGTAAGCAGGAATGGATGGCACTACTATGTACCAAATACTATTGCTATGCTAAACATTTTACAAATATTAGCTCATTTGTTCTTCCCAACAACCCTGGGAAGTAGGTGCTATTATTATCTCCAATTTACAGATGAGGAAACTGAGGTAGACAGAATGGTTAAGTGACTTGCCAGGGTCACACACAGCTAATGGTGGTCTAAGGCTGGATTTGAACTTGAGTCTTTCTCACTCCAGGTGCAGTGCTCTATCTACTGCACAATCTAGCTGCCTCAACCACAGATTAATTTGAATACTGTGAATTACCTTTTCGATTTGCCCAGCCCCTCCAATTAAAGAGGTAAAAAATTCTAGGAAACAAAAAATATATGAAATATTTTTTAGCACTCTTAACAGAACAGAAAATCACTTTATTAGTTTAAGAACATAAAATAATTATGTGTAACTTCTTGTTCATAAAATTATCAAGTCTGGCATAATTAGAGATCTAAAGGCTAAGAGAACCAGAACCAGAACCACCACCACCATCAGCACCACCCTGCCCCAGGAAAAAAAAGAAAAAAAAAAAGAAAAAATTACTCTACCCCAGCAATTTGGAGAGACAAGAAATAAAAAACATAATTTTAAGGGAAAACTGGTTCTCTATTTTTTATTTCAATGTATAACAATGAGTCCAATTAAACTAGACTACAAGCTCCTTAAAGGTCTTTAATTTCATGGTATTTCTGACACCTTTCTAGCCCCACACCTTCCCTCTCTTCCCACCTCTCTCTGCCGACCTAAGGAAATGATCACCAAATGTCCGGCAGAAAGATCCTGTATTTAAAATAAGGTACATTTAAGCTGTCCTTTAATATGACTGCCACCACCGCTGCATCCTTCTAGTGGAAAGAGAAATTTTTCACCTTAAGGAACAAACTCACCCCCCCAACAAAAACATTTTTGGACTCAACCACATCATGTCCAAGTTTTTATACAACTCAGTAATGTCCCGTAACAATTCAGGAATTCAACAACAACCGGGTCCCAGCTCCCAACCTCAAGCACTATACTACTAGATTATGGTACCTTAAAGTACAGCTGAAGGATCATACACCTGCTTATTAAGCCCATACCTTTTATTGCCAGTTCAATAGGGTACTATCCCTTCTTCCACAAAAGTTGTATTTATAATCTCACCTCCAAACACAGGAACAAACTTTTACTGTATCACCAAATCAAACCATGAAGCTCCCATTTAAAATTCCTGTAATGGCATTTAGTCAGCTTCCCCTATCTCACACCTTTCAAGAATGAAAAAGCTAAAGAAAGCAGAATCAATGTACCAATTATCTTGTCCTCACTCCAGTTGAGGACTAGATTGCTTTTCTGACTTCATCCTCAAATTGGAATTTGAGTACCAAATATCTTAAAGAACAGGCAGAAATCTGGCAGGGGAAAATAGGAAAAGGAGAACATTCCAGGAATTGGGAACGGTATGAAGAAAAGCATGAAGTGCAACACATTCCTATTTTAGTTTGGTTGGAGCTAGAGGACAGTAATGTAACAATGAAAAGAAGGATGGTGAAAGACTGTGGAAGGCTTTCCAGATTAAAAAGCTTGAAACTGACTTAGTACACATTAGGGAGAAAAATTTTTTTTAAAAAAACTAAGCTATGTAACTAGATAAAGTCAGGCAGGGATATAAAGGATAGATTAGAGGTCAAAAGATCCATTAGGAAACTACTGCAATAATCTAAACAAATAAATGGAGATGATGAGCATGATAATACAGTGGTGGCAGCCCCTGCCCTCAAGGAACTTATGTTCTATTTGGGATACAACTCATAAACAAGTAAGTACACACAAAATAATTTGAGGAAGGAGAAAACAAAACACTTACTACTAGGGAGTTGAGGAATGGCTTCCCATAGAAAACCTTGAAAGAAGCTAGAGATTCTAAGTAACAGGGGAGAAGATGGCATTTCCAGCATGGAAATTTCCAGCACAAACTTCTGCAAAGGCAAAGGCAGGAAACAGTGTGCCAAGTTAAGGGAATAACAATTAGATCAATTTGACTGAAATGTAGAGCATATGACATAGAGTATATGATATAAAATGCCCGAGAAGATGGGCTACAGTCATCTTGTTTTGTATTTTATCCTAGAGACAATAGGAAGCCACTTAAGATTCTGGAGCAAACAACTGACAGACTAGTACTTTACAAAGACTGATCAGGCAGCTACTAAAGAATGGATTGGAGAGAGTCAAGACTGGTGGAGGGGAGACCAAATAAGATTTTACTGTAAGAGTCCAGGGGTGGAGGCAATGAGAGCCAAACTACGGTAGTGGTCACATGTGCAAAGAGAAGGCTAATGGATATTTCCTAAGACACCTGCCTCAAATGTGTGACCATGGCCCTAACACTCAACTTCTCTTTGAGGGAAAGTTTCCTAGGTGGAATCAACAGAAATCTTAGATTTAAGATATACAGGAGAAAGAAAAGTCAAAGGTAACAAGTAAAGTCTTCATTATAAAAGACTAGATGAATGGTGGTACCACTGGGAAAAACAGCAGTCAGAAGGAGAAAGAGGTTTTTGGGGGCAGTTGTCAACATAATGCAAAAAAACCAATCCGACCATAGGTCATTTGGCACCATTCACTGAGCTGGATCCTGTGACAGGCAAAAGACTTCCAGCCAAACTGTGGTCTGATGGACAGAGCAGGGGAACTGGACAGGACATTTTTTAAAAATGACATCTATACATCATATATCACATACTTGTTTAAAGCTCTAAGTCAAATTAGGAACATAATAACAGCTTACATATACACATCTTCACAACAATCCTGCAACCCTGAGAGGTAAGGCAAAATATGGATCTTATTCCGATTTTACAGATAAGGAAGTAGAGGCTCAGCGACTACCTACTGAACTCAAATCTCTTTTGACTTCACTCTGTGCACTACACGTTAACTGGGGTTGGCTTATAAAACAATCCTGTCTGGCACACCGAAGACCCACGGGAAAAAATGTCTTAAAACAAAAACTTTTTCGAGATGGTGGAGGGGGGAGCTGGGAGAGGGGGAAGACTTCCTTTTAAAATTTTTTTTCCTGAGCCGTCACATGTCCAAACCTAATTGAGTCAATTTCTTCACCTGAATCTGGGGAAGAACCAAGCTCCCCCCGTGCCCCTCGACGTGGCTGTTCTGGGGAGTGGGTCAGAGGCGAAGCCCCCTTTTTCTGTGGGCCCTGGGTGATGCTCCCCACTTTGCACAGGCGTGTACTAAGTGTTTATTGATTGCCTGGTTTTGCACAGGGCCGTCCACGGCTGCACCGCGGGATCGGGAGCCCGACAGACGGCGGCTCCCCCACCCGGCTCCTCCTCTCCCAGACCTTGGATAACTTGAACTCGCTCCGCTCTTCTGCTCCCAAGTGTTCCCCGCTCCGCCGCCCCAACTTCACAGACACCCGCCACGCTCCCAAGCTCCTCTCTCGGAACTACGCGCCTCTCACCCCGGGGGGTGCCCCGAGAATCCGCGGCGGCCTACCCCGCGAAGACCTCTTCTTCCGGCGCCTCCCGGGCCGCACGCCGTGCCCCACGCCGAGCTTGCCCGAGCTCGGCCCGAGCGCGGTGGTGGCGGCGGCTCAACGCCTGGGCCCAGGCCAGAGCAGGGCGGGAAGGCGAGGCCGGGCCGGGAGCCGGCCGGGCCGGGGGGGGGCAGAGAAGACCGCGCCTCCCTCCCCCCCTTCCCCCACCCCAGCAGCAGCAGCAGCAGCAGGCCCGGGCCTCTCCTCCCCGCCCGCCCCCGTCCCGCCGCCCCCGGGGTCGGGGCGCGGCCTCCCGGGCCGTCCCCGCACTCACTCGGGGAGGTAGGTGGAGGAGAAGGAGCTCCACTTGTGCAGCGCGTAAGGCAGCAGCCGGCTCTCAGGCGCCGCAACGCCAGCCCCGCCAGCCGCCATCTTGTCAGCTCCCAACCCGCCGCTGCGGCCGTCGCCGACGCTGGCAACGCCGAGGGGACGGGAGGGCAGGGGCGGGGCCTGCTCTTAAAGGGGCCGCCTCCCCATCTGGCGCGGCGGGCGCGCGCCCGCGGCTAGGAGCCTGCCTGTGCTCGGCATCCCCACGCCCCCCGACGCTCTCCCGAGCATGCTTCTCTCCAGTGCACCTGAAACACACCTTCCTCTCCTCCACCCAGGGCTATCTCGAACCGAGATTCTTGTGTTTCACTAAGTTTAATACCTGGGGAAAAGCGCCATTAGGGACCGGGAAGGGAGGGGACTGATGCACAGGTGCGGAGGAATGAGGAAAGAAACTAGTGCCAGAGATATTATAAAAGAGGAAAAAATGAGGGCAGCACCACATTATTGTCACCTTTTTTCTTTATTTTTTTTTCTGCTCTCCTTTCCTTCCCCCCTCCTCAAATTTCTGCCCATGTGCCTAGAATTGAAGAACAGAGCAGGAGGGGGCATGGGTCAGGAGGCGAAGGTACGCACCACCGGCGCTAGTGGACGCAGGGAGATCCCACCGCGGGGAGATGAGGACTCGGGTGGAACAGCGAAGCGCCCTTTTGTCCATGCAAGGATCCTATTTCTGCAGCATCGTGCAGGCACGGGGTGGGCATTTGAACGAACACTGGTTGAATTGAATTAATGCTGTAGGGTTGTTCTGCTTTTTAGTAACTTCACAGGACGGCCAAGAAAACCCTTAGGGAGTCATGATACTACGTGTCCCCTTTAGCATTACATCCGGCAAAGGTGGCTGGCAACCTCTGACTTATAGAAATAGAATTTCAGATACATATCTAGCCAAATAGAATTAGAAATAGAACTTTGTCCCAGAAGACATCATTCCCCCACCACCACCACCACCACCACCACACCCCACCCCCCAATCATTCAACTTAGAAAACCAGCCTTCACAAAGGCCAGGGCCATTGAGTACCCGTGCAACTCCTGCTGGAGCATATGTCTTCTTTCTGCTCATCTAAAGAATACTTCTTAGGCTATAAAGATTTGTTGGCCAGATGTTTATTTCCATTGGAGTTACTAAAACACTTGCCACTTTCCTGGCCGCCAGCCTGTAATTCTTGCTACCAGAGGAGTCTGAGACTGGGAAATCAAGGCAGCTTGAGTTTTGTGGTTCTGTGATGCATACAGGAAGGCTAAAGTCAGTGAAGTGTCCAAAACCAAATCTGGCATTAATATGGTGAACCAGATGCTCTAAAGAGGGGTCAACTAGCCAGCCAGGTCAGAAAAACCTAGAAGGCTGAAGCTTTCTTACTGATCAGTAGGGGAATTTAGGAGCCAGGAATGGCTCCTGCACTTTCAGTCTTGGCAAGATAAAGAGAATTAGTCTCAAAACAAAAACGTGTCTTTCTTTGCTTGTCCAGCTTGCCTTTGCCTCCAAAAACCTGTCAGTATTATCATTTGGATTTCTCTGAGGAGGAAACTGGGGTACAGATAATTATTTACCCATGATTTCCTAGTGAATGACGTGGAGTCAATATACTTTTTTTTTGTCATAGAATCATGTAACTGGAGCTTGGAAGGAGCCCTACTATAATATGGTAGAAAGAGTGGATGGAGTCAGAGGCCCTGGGTTCAAATCACATCTCTCCCTCTTATTACATGTGTGACCTTGGACAAGTCACTTAACTTATGGATATCTGTTTTCTAATCTGTACATGAAAAGGATGGTCTAGATGATCTCTAAAGTTCCTTCTAGCTATAAATCTATGTTCCAAAAGATCATATAACCTCTTATTTTGTAGATAGGGAAATGCTATGGGAGGGATGATTCCTTGGAATAGAAAGGATTTCAGCTTAGTGGGGTTCAGCAACTTACCTAAAGTCATGCAACTAGCCTGTGGCAGAGACAGTATAGCATATGGGTCTCCTGATAACCCACTCCAATATTGTTTTTATTACCCCATGTTTGATTGCTTCTGTAACCATCTTATACTACCCACATTTCTTCAGATCTTATCACCATCTCCCCATTTCCTGAAGCAAAAAAAAAACTGAAAGCATTAAGAAACCAAGTCTCTACTAAGATAGTCCCTTGCTTCAAGAAATAGTTAAAACCACAAATATATTTAACATTTAAATATATATATGATTCATTTTTGTATCATAACATAATCTGCAATCTACTCCAGGAAGTTTTTTCAGTAAAAATGTTATTAATTACACATTGAAACAGTGAGATAATATCTGAACTGGAATGATGAACTGGGCAGTTGCCCTTCATCTCAGCCCAGAGATCCTGAAAGAACAGTTGAATGAAAACATTAAAGGATGATAGAGAAAAGTTTAGTACCACAAATGGAGGGTAAAAAGTGGGTAACTTGGGGTGATTCTTCAATGAAAGGGATGACTGAATAGTTTGTTTTCCCTACACAACTTTAACCTACAAAAAGTCAAAGAAAACATGTGCCCAATATATAGTAACTACAGTTGAATTAGCAAGATAAACACTAAAGGAAGAAAATGCTTCATGAAATTATATGAGAGAATTAAAACACATAAAGCTGCTATTGGCCAGCTCCAGTGCAATCAACCTCACAAGACTGTCCATCTGTGGAGGTCCTCCCAGTCCCTAAAAAGTGGTGGCTCAATCTGAAACATCCCCCCACACACACACATACGCACCCCATCACAAGAGGCAGAAGAAACTAATTCTGTCAAGCTACTTGAAAGAATGTGAGTCCACAGGGGGAAGGAAGATTTTGAACTATTTTCTTAAATGAGTTAAGAAAGTTTACTTTGGGCAGCGAGCAAATCCCTTACATTCCCCAAACAGAAGAGGATGAGGACATTCTGTGCCATAGCAATAGAAGGGCAAAGGGACAAGAATGAGAAGGGAAGCCAGAGACAAGTTACTAAAAATACAATTTTTTAAAAAAGGCTGAAACACAAAAAGAAGAAGGCTGGGTACAAGCCTAGTTACTAAGCAGATAAGCCAACAGTAAAAGAAAAATGCATATAAGCAGCAACAACAAAAAAAAGAAAAACATTGAACTATTATTATGCTATGAAGGGGAATGAATGAAAAACCCCCCAATGGAAAAAAAAAAATTCTGCAAATTCCTGGAGATCCTGGAGCACCAGAAATTAATTCTAAAGTACTTGATAAGAGTAATAAAACTTTAAAAAGAAATTAGTCAGTCAAGAAGCATTTGTGAAGTGCCTACTATGTGCCAGTCACTGTGCTAAGCACTGGAGATACAAACAAATGTGAAAGACAGTCCCTAATCTTAAGGAGCTCACAGTCTAGTGCAAACAACTCAATGCAAACAAGATGTATAAATGATAAACTAGAGGTAATCGCCAGAGAGAAGGGGGATCAGGAAAGGCTTTGGTAGAAGGTAAGATTTTAGCTGGGACTTGAAGGAAGCCAGGAAGCAGAAATAAGAAGGGAGAGCCTCATAGACAGGAAGGATATGAAGTATCCTGTTTGAGAAACAGCAAGACCAGTGTCACTAAAAAACAGAGTACATAGTGGGTAGTAAGGTACAAGAAGACTGGAATGCTAAGAGGGGTCCAAGCTACATTAGGAGAGAAATTGAGTTTGAAATTAGAGATCTCAACAGAATTTCAGAAAAAAATGGCAGAATGGACAACTTTGAACACATTATAAAATGCAGTAAGCACCAGTACTGGCAAGGGGTAAGGAGATCTGGAGATAGAATCATCTGGTCTGAGAATTGTAGCGATCCTGATAAGGGCCAGAGGTAGTTTTAAGCCTCATACCTTGGGTTACAAAGTGAATCAATATCATCACTATATGCTTCCTTCTTCATTAATTGTCATCTCTAGGAGGAGGACATAGTAGAAGGAACGATCAAAAGCAAAACAAAAAAATAAGGTAAATGAATACGTACATACATACATATATACAAGAATGGGTGGTAAGGAGAATAGGGTAAGATATATAAAGGCAATTTCAAAATAGCATAGAAGAAAATCAAATTTGGGACTCTAGGAGTTCTACTTCTAATGAAGGAAATAGAATAAAGAAATAACAAGTAAAGGTCTAGGTATAGCCAATGCATGGGAGAATAGAATGCATAATGAAGTATTGAAATGAGGAAGAAAGAAAAAAGCAAATGAAAATTTCTTGGGAAAGGAAACAACAAAAGAATGTTACTCAATCTAAGAAGTTGGAAGGGAAAAGGAAAATTATGAACCATATACTTATCTGAGTGAGGGGTGAAAGAAACATTCGAAAAATTTTTTGAAAGACAAATTAACATCTTAAGTAAATTCAAGTAATTTAGGATGTCAGGTAAAACAGGAGTCAGGATGAAAAGCCTATGGGAACAGACTAGGATCAAAGTAGCATAATCAAAACTAATCAAAGGTACAAAGAGCTAACTTAAAAGAGGAAGGGACAAAAATCAATACAAAAGGAATAAATGAAACACAAACCTAATGATCATCACCTTAAATGCAAATGGATTAAACAATCCAGTAAAAAAGAGGATAACAGAATAGATAAGAAAACAAACTCGACCAATTTTTTGCATACAAAAACAAATCTAAAAAATGAAGGTTATATATTTAAAATGAGGCTCAAACAGCATTTAATATTTAATATGATTTCAAAAAGGCAGGAGTTGCAGTCATGCTTTTGTACAAAGCAAAAATAAAAATTTGCAATGTTGAGATACATAAATAGGAAAACTAAACTGTGTTTAAAAGTACCCTTCAAAATGAAATATTATCAAAATTGAACACATACACTAAATGGCAAGACATCTAAATTCATAAAGGAAAGTTAACTGAATTACAAAAAGATATAGATGGTAATAATAACTACAGGAGACTTTAATGTTCTTCTCTTAGAGCTGAATAAATCTAATAAAGATAAAGGAAGAAGATATAAACTAAACAAAAATTAAAAATGTTAGATTTGGAAAATGTGTTCTTCTAAATGGAAATATTAAAGACTATGCATATTATTCAGCACCT